GTCAGAAGATACTTATAAGGATACAGAGATGAACGAGCAAGTCAGGGAAACCAGCAGCTGATGCGTCACTCTGGATCCCAGAGCTCCGTGTATCAGACCATACATGCAGCAAGCCTCGTGAGAAACTGGAACGTGCTTCATCTTCACCACAGCTCAGCTCCCGCAGTGAGGCCAGCCAGGGTCTCTGCTTCTTTCTGGTCATGTCCCACTGAAACTCCCAATGTAGAGGCAGTCTGATGGGTTACCTCAACATGCAGTATGGAGTGTCCCTAGAGGGAAGCCTTCGATTCTGTTGTCTTGCGCTGGAGCTGTCCGTCACAGCCAGGTAGCAGGCTAGATCTTGCTCCTGGTGCAGACCATAGCAACATGATGCGGAAAGAACTGCTGGGGAACTTTTTCCCTAGCGTGGCGTTGGTACTTTCAGAGAGATCAAGGTCATCAGAAGAGCACCGGTGTTGGAATCAGACAGACCTGGGTTTGAACCCTGGTTTTGTCACATAACTCATTTTTCTCAACTCTGAATGGTGGCTGTCACCCACCATGCGGAGGTGTTGCGAAGACCAAGTACTGTGACATGCTTAGCATAGTGCCTGGCACATAGTGTCTGGACTTTAGAAGTGATGGGATTTGGTGTTCTAGGTTTTTTTTTTTTTTTCTTAAAGACAAAACCTGGAAATATGAAAAAGTGAAAAAAAAATTACTGGGTTTTATCACCTTAACACTTAGTTCCTTATCACTGACAGTGCCATTTTCAACTCTTGTAGGGACTCAGCCATCATTTCATTTAAGGTTTTATATGGTATGGAGCTATAGGTTTTTAATGAACAGTCTGTTTTACATAGTTGTAGTTATATAATTTAACATTCTGATTTTTTTCACATTATAGAATATGTTTAATGTTATAAATTCTGTACATAATTTTAGTGGACATGCTGTCATTTACATTAAATTACTTATTGTTGGACACCTAACAGTAGAGAATTGGTTGAATAGATGGTAGTGCATGCATATAAAATATTAAGCAGTGATTTAAAAAGGTAGAGTAGAAGTATATTTCTTAACATAGAAACATGTTCATGATTATATGTAAAATGAGATGGTTTTCCCTACAGATCTTCTACCTTCCAAATCTGTCTGGACATTTACTGCCTCAGTCTCAGCAGCTTTCAAACTTTAATGGGCCTCACAATCACCAAAGGAGGTTATTAAATGCAGGTTTCAGGCTTTACCCCTAGCGTTTGATTCAGTAGATGGAGGCCAGAGCTCAGGAATTGGCAGTTTTACAAGGATCGTAGGTGATTCTGACATGGTAATGACACCCCTCCCATTTCTACCTGCTGAAGCTATACTTAGTTTTCTAAGCTTCTCTTCCTACTTTCTCCTGAACTCATACTTTGTAGCACTTGTCTGCTTCCTTGTCCTCTAGATCTTAGTGAATCCTTCTAAAATGTAAAACTTTTCCTGATCCTCCAAGCAAACCTGATTGGGTACCTGTAGGGAAAATGAAAAGTAAATGGTCAGGATCCCTTGGAGGTTCGGAATCTTGCTGAGCATTTGATGTAAATAACTGTGCACATGCACCCAGGTGTTCCTTGGCTATTGTCTGTGGATGCGCATGGGCACCCAGGTGTTCCTGGGTTGTCTGACTCACGCCCAAGTGTTACTGAGTTATTGGACTTAAGTATAAAGGATGAATGGCTCCCTCAGGACACCCCAGGAGGCCACTAGGTTGGCTGCTGCTAGCTACCTGATCTTGCATCTGAATAAAGCCTATTAATTTTTACCCATGGCTCCCAGGATCTTTTTCATATTACCTAGCTCATTACCTGCAGGTGAGGGGTTTGTGACCCAGTCCATCCAGTGGGTTTGAAGGGTCTGAGCCCTAGCCCTCGCCCTAGCAAGACAACACCTATGTCTCAGCCCTGGAACTTGTGTCAAACCCTGAGTGAGTTACTGAATATAGGTACCAAAGTATCTGGAATCCAAATTTTATTTGCTTTGTGGTGAAGAGAGAGAGGCTGAGCACTTCAGAACTCTTTCGTACACCAGTTATTAGCAAGAACTTTGGAGAATAGAGGTAGTCTTTCCAACCTTGATGGGGGGAAAAATCTTATTTAAATTACCCGTATCTTGTATCAGGCTGGGTCATAGACCCCTCGTATGCACTGGGTCACAGTCCCACCATATACAGGTCAGGAGCTAGGAAAAAGATTCTGGAAGCCATTGGCAAGGTTGACATGCTTTATTTGGGTGCAAGCTCAGCTCCCAGCCTCCTAGTAGATCAGAGCCATTGTCCTTTATACTAGAGTCAGATAACCAAGGAACACATGGGCACACACATACAATTAGCATATTTTCAACAGACAGTCTGAGCCATGCTCAGCCAGATATGAGGTGAGGGAGCCTGACCAGTCTGTCTCCATTTTCCTCACAACTGGGCAACCAGGTTGTGAAAAGTAGTTTGTCTTTTGTGCATTTACTGTGGTCTAGGCCAGAGATGGCCAGTGTTTGTTGAAGAAGATGGTTCAAACCCTTCAAGATGCTTGTTATTCTGAAAGGACTGTGTATATTCTGTTGGGTGGTTTTCTTCTCAGACTTTGTGCCCTTCAGATCATTCAAGGTAAGTTTCTCATCTTGCAGTTCACTTAGGGGCCATTCGTGCTTAAATTGAGATTGTTACCCTCCAAAGCACTTCTTCACTTAGGTTTTATCAGTTTGATTGCCTTCCTTCCTTAAACTAAATAACATTGGATATCCATATCAAGTGAAGTTTTGTTGTCTTACGCTATCCTTTATATAACAGGCCAGCTGTTGCAGACTTAGAGGTATAAATAACAATTGATAAATATTATGTTGAGATGACATTGAATTTTTCCCTTGCTTGTAAAGGCAACTGGAGTATATTCTGTACAAATTTGTGATTATTCTAGCTTTAAAAGCACTAATAGTTACAGAAAATTCCCCAGAAGCAAACCTAAAGAGCCAGGTTTAATAGCTCACTCATAAAAAGTTCTTCCTTGTTTCACATGAAAATGTTAATTTCATCGAATTGAAGTAGCAGATGACCAGAGAAATGATGGCACTGGGGCATAGAGGGTTGCGGTTAATCAGATACTTCTAGCAGAATCACTGGATGGAGTGTACTTGTACTTATTTATCCACATGGCAAACTCAGAATCGTTCTTCAGAAATCTGTTCAGAAGCATCATCTATAAAACCTTGCATTTGTAAAGCTTTTCATGATCCCCCTCCTTGGAAAAGGCTAACCATTTCTTTTTTTATTCTACACCCATAATAGTACCCTACACACACTTCTGTGATTATATATGTCACACTCCAGTGTGATTACATGTATGCATGTTGCTATTCTCCACTAGCTCAGGAATTCATTAGGCATAGAGTATGTGACTAATTTGTACAGTCTAATCCACATTCAATACCTGGATATAGTAGTATTCAATAAATAGATGTATGAGTGAATGAAAATTCTGCACACTGAACAGGGGCCATCAATCAGATAACTGACTTTTGTGGGTGATCCACATTCAATACCTGGATATAGTAGTATTCAATAAATAGATGTATAAGTGAATGAAAATTCTGCACACTGAACAGGGGCCATCAATCAGATAACTGACTTTTGTGGGTATTTTCTGAGAATTCCTGCAATTACTGCATTTAAAGCATCACCCTATCATGATAAATTTCCCTAATATATTGTTATAGTAAACTATGAATACATACATGTTTTAAAAGATGAGTCTAGTATCTGCTTCTCCCTGAGTGCCTCATGGCAACTGAGTGCTCCTTGGCCTGTGGGACCCCTGATTTAAGGAACTGGATCTGAAAATCTACCGAAACCTGCTCAGCATTACTGTATTAATTGCTATTAAATTCCTTTCGTAGGCTCTTAAATTCCACATAAGGCTTAGTTATCACAGATATTTGAACTTTGTGCGTATGTGATAGAAAACAAGTATACCCCAATCTCTAATTTTAAAGTATTTGTATTAAAAGTGCCAATTTGAGAATTGAAAGGGACCCCTTCATTTTTACTGGTTGGGAAACCAAACCTCTTGAGACACTGGCAGCTTTTGTTAGAGGAGCACTAGAAATGAAGGCAAATAGACAAGAGTTCTGTGCTCGGCTCTGGGGCTCCGATCACAGCCTCTTACTGACTACATGATCATAAACAGTTTACTTAACATTTTTGAAAATCAGTTTTGTCATTTGTAAAGTCTGGTTAATAATCCATCTCAGTGGATTATGACAAGGGATTACTTGAGATTACATGAACCAGAGTACTGACTGTAATGTCTGCACAAACCAAATCCTCAGTGATCTTTGGTCTCTGCCTTTCCTTTCCCAAATCACAGTCTACGACAGAGCTAGGACTTAGAAGTTTTCCTTGGCATTATTAGTATGGGTTGTGGTTCCCAGTTTACTTGACAGGACTCAGTGCACATCAACGACACTGCAAAGGGGCCGTGTCACATCAGCGTTTAGAGACAAGATTCAAGATTTCTTCCTTTAAAAACAATCTTCTGAGTTACGTGTTTTATTGCTATTGCTTTTTTCACTTTCCTTGTACTCAGAGTCATGGCACCCTCCCAGTCAACCATCAATTATAATTTAACTGTGTATAATTGTGTGAATTAGCGAGATTATTTCTGAGACTCTAGGATCACAGCCAAGTTTATAAACATTTTGGAAGAATTTAAGATCTACGTTGCCTAATAAGTCTTCAGTTTTTAAAAGTAACATTCTAAAATAATAAGTTAAATATTTGTGCCACATTGAAAGGGTTTCCTTAAATTCTGGCAGTAAATAAAGAGCATTTTAAGCACAGAAATATTAGTCATATGAACTTAAGTCACCATGAAACTTGAAAGTAATCAGGTGGGAGAAGCAGCATCTTTTGTTTCCTGTTCTCATACTCCCAGAGTTCATTTGTCATTTTAAGAGACAACTTATTTTTCTGTCTTTTTCTTTCTGTAAAGGTAGAAACCTGTGGGTTCTTGTTGTGGGGCAGTTTCCAAAGGAACACAGAATTGGGATCCCAGAGTTCAAATACGTGGCAAATATGCATGGAGATGAGGTATGTACGTGGCTTGAATTTCTGAAATGTCCCTGGAGAAACTTCCCCTGAAGTCTCTCGAGCACTGTGTAAATGCTAAAGAGGAAGCTTGGAGAAGTCTCCAGCATACACTGTAGCAAAGAAGCCAGGCCCTGAAAGGTCTTCCTGTGAGGCCTTCTGAGAGAATTTAAGGAATCAGGGACCAGCAACCATCACAGCCTTCGGTTGTGTGCCCAGTGCCCTGTGAGAGGAACCTGAGCTGTTTTCATATTTGGGGCTGAAAGAACAGCAGCGCCCAACCTCCAGCCTCCTGCCAGCCCAGTCCCTGAACTCCTTCCCGGGCTGATTTTTCCCCGCCACGTGGTCGGCAGTGAGGTGATCCAGCAAAGGAGTTGTATTATATTTGAACTCAAAACAATCAGAAGATCCCAAATATCTGTCCGAGCTCCTGATATCTGGTTTTTTGAATGCTTTTGTCACTCTCTCTTAATGTAACATTCAATGTTTTCAATGTTCAAGTTTAGACAATCACATTTAGGGTTCTCCCATACCCACCATTCAACAAACACTCTTAAATTCCTTAATAATATCTTGTTTCCTTTCCAACTTAGCAGAGATAAACTCTATTTTTATTATATGTTTTGCAAAATACGCTTTCTCTCTCTTACCTGCCTAGGCATTCTTGCCAGGCAGTTGAAGATGTTCGCCTCTGTTTCTCACCTTACTTCAACTGTGGTATTTTCTGTTTACCAGGACTCCATACAAGTGGGTGGTCAAATAGCACCCAGTCATTACATTAAGGAAAATTTGCATAGGCATTGTAAAGCCACATGAATAGGCCAATTGTATTGCTAAAGTAATTCATAACTGAAGCCAAAACGTTTCATTATTTTAGTTACACTAAGTTTTCCAATTGTATTGTCAGGAGCTAGGGCTCAGACCCTTCAAACCCGTTGTACAGACTGGGTCACCAGACCCCTCACATGTCAGGCTGGGTCACCAGACCCCTCACATGTCAGGCTGGGTCACCAGACCCCTCACACGCAGGTCCAGGTCACCAGACCCCTCACATGTCAGGCTGGGTCACCAGACCCCTCACATGTCAGGCTGGGTCACCAGACCCCTCACATGTCAGGCTGGGTCACCAGACCCCTCACATGTCAGGCTGGGTCACCAGACCCCTCACATGTCAGGCTGGGTCACCAGACCCCTCACATGTCAGGCTGGGTCACCAGACCCCTCACACGCAGGTCCACACTAGGTAATTGGGAAAGATCCCGGGAGCCATTGGCAGATGACACAAGCTCAGTCCTCACTAGCAGCAGTAGCAGCAGTGGTGGTGGCGTCTCAGGGCACCCCAGGCGCACTGGCAGCAACAGGTTACAGCAACAGACTCCAGCAGCAGTAGAGGCCTCTCTGTGGCCCCCCACCCCAGGGACATCCTGGGGATGGGGCAGGGGGGCATCATGGATCAGAGCCACTTGTCCTTTATACTTAAGTCCATAACCCAGGACACCTGGGTGCATATGCACAATTACATTAGACAATAGCCAAGGAACACCTGGGCACATGTGCATGTTTATATCAAATGCTTGGCAAGAGTCTGAACATCTGAGGGGCGATGACCATTTTCCTATATTTTCCCTACAGGCATATGTGTAATACCCTATAAAGCACACTTACCTTTAAGGAATTTCAAAGTAAGTGTATATTCCATTAAGTATAATCTGCTGACTTGTTAAAACACTTCCGGATTTGCAATAGTCTGGGTGGCACACTCTAATCAATGCTGAGCTTCCTGTCCTGGCTTAACCTTCCCCAAACCCAGGCTCTGTAGAACTGGATCCACCCTTCATGACACACGCAGCCTGCCTAGACCAGGCATGCTGCCCAACCTGTCCTGCTGAGAGGGCACTTCTTGCAGCTAAGGTGCAAACACCTGCCTCTAAGAAAAGAGTAGGTCTTTGAATCCAATTTATGGGTGGGTGGAAGTTCAATCCATCTGTGATTTTTTGAGCATAATTGGCTATTTTAAAGACCTTACATTGCTGGGAGTCTGATCAAAGTTGCTTTTAATAAAACAACTATTTGTTACAGACAGCAACCCACACTTCATTTTTTTTTTTTTTTCTTTCCAGTCTATTGATCAAGGTCCTTTAGATCCAGTTTTAATAAGAGACATATGGCACTCATTGTCTTCAGTAGTTTATTTATTGAATTCCTCACATTTCAGAGACTGCAGCCTGATACTCAGGAATTAGTCCTCAGAACTGAAACTCCCAAAGATAAGCGAGTTCTTTCCTTCACTTACCCATGAATTTGCTTATTCTTTTCATGCGCTTTCTCAAATTCCTGGCATTTTGCTCTCTGGGTAGTGTATCCCATCAAATAAGGGCTTGCTAGTTTGCTCTGATTCTTTGAGGAATGCTGAGGACTAAGATTAGGCGGGGGTTGGTGCAGGGAGTCCCAGTGTATTTGGGGCTCCATGGGGCTATTAAGAAATGTATTATTCTGAATTTGAGATCTTGTATATTCTGCCCTTCTAGTGACACTAGGAGCTGGAGAAAGTGAGGGCCTAACCTAGGAACATAGGAGTCACTCAGTACAGGGTCTAACCACCGCCTTGTTCCTCCCTCAAATGCTTAAAATCGAAAGCATTTTTAAGAACCTCCCTATTAAAAAGCAACATAGCTAACATTTTAGAGTAGTGGTTTTTAACCTTCTTTGGATGTATTCCTTGCTATTCTGGTAGAAATCTTGACCTCTGACTGCAGGGTCCATGGATCTTACAGGAATTCACGGGCCTTGTGGAGAATCCCAGCAGGGGGCATATTCACATTGCGTGGCATGACAGACTTGAACACACTATTTTTAAAGCATCATCCCTGTGTGCGTGTCCCACAGTCAGTGTCATGGCTAGATGACAGTGAGCATCAGCTGCATCAGGAAGACCTATCTCTATCAATCACACCTGCCATTTCCCCCCATGAATTTTTACTTTACCTCTTTATGCCTTGTTTTAGAACTGGGTCGATTTTTTTTTAAATTAAAAATTATCTATTACAAAACCAACCTAGGTTCATCTTAGAAAAGATACAGATAAACAAAAAAAGGAAACATATACTGATCTTCCAAAAATTAGCACTGTTCATTCCTTATTCTTTAGCTTTCCAGATATTTGTGTGTGCACTTTTACCAAGTGAGACTATACTATTTTGCTATTTAGAACATTTTTAAAATTCATACTAGCTACCCTTTCATATCAATATATGTTTATCCTATCTTTATCTTGCCCCCCACCCCCACTTTCTAGTTTTTCCAGTTGTCCTCAAAATGTCCCTAAAATTGTTCAGATCAAGATCCAGTTCAGGACCATGTATCACATTTGGTTGATATGTTTAATCTAGCATTTAAAGTACATTTTGCCCCGTTGGGGGGCTACTGGGAGATTTGTCTTTAGTATAAATTATATGATCTGTGTATATGTGCAAAAATATATATGTATATCTTTTCATGATACCAGACTTACTAAAGACACCTGATCAGTTGTCTGTACTGCAGAACGTCCTACATTCTGAATCTTTTCTTTTCTTCCTTATAGTGTCATTGAGCTTGTGCCTCTAGCTCCTCTATTTACTTCAAACTGAAAGTTAGATCTAAAGGTTTCCTGGATTTAGGTGAAACATTATTGGCTAATACCTATTCTAGGAGTTGTGAAGGTACAGTTAATTTGATTGATGGTAATTAGCTAGGAATGTAAAAAGCAAACTATGGGTAGCAAAATCAACTTATTTATTACCCATTTGCAGGCAAGTATTGTTACAAAAGAAATGGAGTAGAACCCACTCCTTATTTTGTACGAATTTCATGAATTCTCTTATTCTTACAAAAATCAGGTTGTTCTACTAGGGGCAAGGCCCATATTGTAGAATTTTTTCTTGTTGACCTTGCCATTGGCTCACATCCTTTCTGCAACACTGGCTCACTATGCCATGCTAATCAGGCTGACAGGTTCCCTTCTACAGTGCTTAGAAGAATAACAACAGCAAACATTTATTGAGCTCTGACCACTCTAAGTGCTTTGTGGCCATTGTTTCTTTTGGTCACCTCTGCAGAAGGCATGTTTATTAACCCTGTGTAGGGTTACAGCAATAGCTACGCTAATCGTATGGTTGGGGTTATTGTCGGACTCCTGCCAACATAGCCAATTGTATGGTTACTCCAATTGTATTGCTAGGGCTAGGGTTCAGACCCTTCAAACTCATTGTACAGACTGGGTCACAGACCCCTCACATGCAGGTCCACGCTAGGTAATTGGGAAAGATCCTGGGAGCCACTGGCAGATTGTATGGTTACTCCAATTGTATTGCTAGGGCTAGGGTTCAGACCCTTCAAACTCATTGTACAGACTGGGTCACAGACCCCTCACATGCAGGTCCATGCTAGGTAATTGGGAAAGTAGACCAGAAAAGAGGAAAAATAGGCACCCCCAAAATCCAAAACCCAAACAGGGCAGACATTAAGCACAGTGGGGCATCTGCACCTCCAAAGCATTGGGCAGCCTCACTCCTACAGCTCTGCCAGGCACAGCCCGTTGAGCTTCCCTGCTGCCTGCAGCTTTTCCAGGCCAGTGCTGCATGCTGCCAGTGGCCCTACAGTTCTGGGCTCCTGGCGGCAGTCCTGCTATCCTGGTTCCACCTTCCCCAGTGGGTGCTCTCTGTGGGGCTCCAACCCCACTTTTCTGCTCCACATTGCTCCATAGATGACCTCCACAGCAGCTCTACCCCTACAGCAGGTCTCTGCCTGAGTCCCCCAGCTTTTTCGTATGTCTTCTGAAATCTGGGTGGAGGCTGCCACACCTCCACGCCTCCATGCCTCCACAGCTCATGTTCTGCTGGCCTGCAAACTTAACACAACATGATCGCCACCAAGGTTTCTGGCTTGTGCTCTCCAGACTGCTGCACAAACCACACTTGGGGCTGCCCAAGGCAGGGCTGCTTCAGCCAGAGCAGCTGGAGGGC